GGTGTCAGGGGGTAGTCTTAGGGATTCTTTGCTTGAACTGTTTACTGTTGGCTCTTTGGCAGGTTCTTGATTGGGGTATTGTTTACTTGATTGTTGGTCTGCTGTTAACCTTGGAGTTAATCTATGCTGATCTGGGTGCTGATTGCTGGGGAGTATGGATGAAACCCTCACCAACCCTGACAAGGCAAGTCATCAGAATATAAACAGGCAGCAAACAACACTCCTTAATAGCACTGATGATGTTACCTAGTTTAGATAATGAAATTTCTGCAAGAAACAAGCTCAGAGAGAGCCCCAACTACCCTCAGAAAACTCAGCTTTACAGTTGTAGTTACAGGCTAGTGCCAACAGGTGTCAGCAAGGTGTCAGTGAAACTCCACTCCACTATAAATAGCTTAACCCGGTTACAATATTCTAATATTGTACAATATTCTATAGTCCCAATCCAGTTGGTTAGAATTTAAAAAAAGCATTATGGGAAAGCAAAGTCCAAGAAAAGTCATATTTAACAATAGGGATTCAATAAAATTTAACTTTTCTTTTAGATTTAAAAGGAAATCTTCCCTTTTTTTGTTAATAACTTTCAGATATTTATAAATTACAGGTCATAACTGGCACTCATTCATTGTAACTTTGAACAGTCACCGAATGAATGGTTGTTAACTAAGGGCTTCCAGTATTTGCGTGTGTGTTTGATTTTGACTGAACTGTCTGTCATGCTTAAGATAGCTGAACTTACCTACTAGGAGATACAGTACCTGCATAAAAATAAATGTCTGATTCACCATTGTAAAAAGAGGTTGCATAACTGTTTTACAGTGACTTGGATCAAAATGTTTTCAAAATGGGGCATGTCAATGCAAGGTTTCTACGTTCTCCTGAGCATTTTACAAATTGGAGGTAAGTCTGCAATGATGAATTATAGCATTGATGAACGAGACTGATTTAATATTGTGTTTAAATTACATTAGTGGTTTTTAGTATTAGTTTGAAACTTAGGAACAAGACTGTAGGTATCAACAAAATTTTTGTATAGGTTCAGAGTTTTCTACTCTGGTGTGCTGGTTATTTGTGGATTGAAACCTTTTGAACAGATACTAATTCAAATTTATTGAGACAAAATGTAACAACATGAGACAGCAACAGACTAATAATTGAATCAAAGGACATTAACTGACTTATGACTTGGATTTAGCAAAGGAATAATAAAAGAATTAGTCATCCAAGAGTGATGGGGAATAACCAGACAGGTTGGTTTAAGCCCATGAGACTCTAGTAGTTCTTAACTTTATTTGGAGTCCCCCAAATTAAGAACAATCTTTTTGTCATGTTTTGATGAGCTGCCAAAAGCAGTGATACGATGGCATTTGAAGAAAATACCACTGAAAATCTGCATCTGCCCTTGGTAGGTTTGATCAAGTGAAGTTTTAGCTCAGTCTTTCTGTGCTACACTTACCTCAGTGTCAGTAGGTCTACTCATTTTAAGATGTTTAATCTGGTTATCTCAAAGGAAATATAATACTTATATGCAGTTGGTTCATTACATTCTTTAAGTACTGGCCTTATTCTAATTCTATAATAGTAAAACTATACTATACTAGTTCTAGAACTTGTACCTAAAAAACATATTAATTCCTAGCATAATGCTAAAATTTAAATAGACATTAATACAAATAGCTATTATCAAGCTTCTTTTGTTTAAAGCCTAAGATAAATTAATAAAAGCCTAAAACTCACCAATTTGTGAGGGGAATATTCTGTTTCTGGCTGTTTATGATTTGAGAGTGACTAGTGTTTTATGTCATACATCTCCCTGTCCCCCCCAAGAGAAAAGTTGACTGTTTTAGTGTAGTTTTGAGAAGGCTGTTGCTGTTTTCTATGTTATTTGTTGTTTATAGTAATAATAAATATGTTCACCAATGGAAAAGTAAATGTAATCATTTCTCTCAGTTTCAGATGGCTTCCTGAACATATGTGGCTATATTGTCCCAGAGTCACCGGTAGTATTGTCCATTGGTTCCAATTTTACAGCATTTTGCATTTTGCTTGATGACTGTCATTATGGCAAAATTGGTGCCGAGCAAGTTATTTGGAAAACAAAGACAACAGTTGTCCCTAAAGAACAATACAGCATAATAAATAAAACTATTTCTAGTGTAACCTTCAGTGATACTTCTACATTAGTTTCTCCTCTGACTTGCAACGCTGAGTTACCTGGCGGTTTGGTACAGAACATCTATGGAATTCAAATTCAACTGGGCTGTAAGTCATGTCCTTTAATTTTTCTGTGGCAACGTGGAGAAAATTCTAATGCTAGGATATAGTAAATTACTTATCTTTTTAAGATCTTCTCATTGCATGTTCTTAAATTTTAGTTATACTTGAATTCAAAAGAGGGCAAATCAGTATGACAAATATTCTGGCAAATGTAATGAGAAAGGCTAAATAATTTTTCACTTATTTAAGTACCATATAAACATGAAAATATGTTTGTCCATTTACACAGTTTGAGAGTATGTTATGAGAAAGTACCGTATTTTTCGGAATAAAAGATGTACCGTTTTCCCTTAAAAAAAAGGCTGAAAATCTGGGTGCATTTTATACACCGAATACAGCATTTTCTGCCTCCTGAAGCCCCGCCCCTTCACCAAAATGTCCATGCATACCTTTATGGAGGCTTTCAGAGAGCTTCTGGGAGCTGGGGAGGGCAGATATGAGGGGAAAAAAACGGGCCTTCCCCCCCCCCCCAGCCCCAGCAGCATTCTATAAGCCTTCATAAGGCTATGCATGCCATTTTTTTGACAAAAAAACAGGACTGTTTTTGTGAAAAATGGGCCGTTTTTGGGTGGTTTGCAGAGTGCAAAAACGTTTTGTTTTTTTTTCCTTTTGGAAAGCTCTTTAACTGATTGATGAGAATTACATTGATCAAGTGCTGTGCCAGCAGAAACAAAGTGTTAGGTGCTGCAGATTGTCAGCGATTTCCTTCTCCAGCACATGGATAAATACACCTGGAAACATCTACCTACCTACCTATCTTTCTCTCTCTCTCCCTACCTACCTATCCACTGTATTTCTATTTTCTCTACTGTACTTCTACCTACCTACCTATCTTTCTCTCTCTATCCCTCTACCTACCTATCTACACACTCTCTCTCTTCCTACCTACCTACTGTATTTCTCTCCCTCTTTATCCCTTTATCTGCCTACCTACTTTCTTTTTTAATTTGCCTCTTCAAAACCTTGGTGCATCTTATACTCCGGTGCGTCTTATACTCCGAAAAATACAGTATGATTAAGATTTAGTTTATTTGTATGCCGCCCTTCTCCAGGAGGGACTCAGGGCGGCGAACAACTCAAGGGAGGAAAGAGGGGAACATAAAACACAGTACACGTAGTTAAAATAAACAAGAATCATACAACCATACAAGTTGAGAGGGGAGGGGAACTTTACATTTTTAAAAACGTGGAATTTTCAAGTCATCTTAAGCTTCTGAAAAACATTGAAATATTAGTAAGGTACAAAAGCGTTTGTGGTTAGATGGGCATGTAATTATGATTTTTCTTTATAATTGTTAGTGAAAAATCAGTACTTCAGGGTTTGGGTATGCAATTTAATATTTTAAAGACATGGACAATTTCCATATATTTGCTGTCATTACTCTAATTCAATTATGGCATTAGATGTGCTGGACTTAACATTAATGAAAAGATGCTCATGCAAGAAAGTATAAAGGAGTCTTGAAAGTATTTCCTTTTTGGATTGGGTCAAGTTCCCAGCTGTGATCTTTGATATAGAAGAAAGGAATGGGATTTGGAAATTGCAGATTACCCATAATATTCCAGTCCATGCTCTTTTATAGAAGTGACTTTAAGCAGTCCACAGAAGCTTGACAAGGATAAATGGAGTAAGAGGGATGGAACATTTATTTGCATGTATCGTCTTCTTGTCACAAATTTTGGACTAGTTTCTGCTATGTTTGGTTTTTTGTTTTTGTTTTTTTGGCAGATCCTCCCGAGAAACCTACAAACTTGAGCTGCATTGTGAGTCAGACACAAGCAGGATCCTTTATTCAAAGATGTTCCTGGGAACCTGGAAGAGATACATTATTGAGCACTAATTATACTTTAAAGCATAGGTGGTAAATATATTTTAAAATGAACCACTTAATTTTTTCATGTGTTTGATTACTTTTAAAGGAACTTCTGACCTTCTCAAATTAATGGTTTCATATTGCAAACCTGAAATATTTTATGCAGCCAGAAATTGTGGGGTCAGTTACCCTGTGAACTGTAAGCAGTTATGACAGTTTGTTCCAAGTAATGTTCCAATTTGAGTAAAAGCGTACTTAATTTGATGTTAATCTTAGAGTAAATTTCAATTAGTTCTATGATATTTACTTGTTATTACCATGTTTCCCTGAAAATAAGACAGGGTCTTATTTTCTTTTGACCCCCCGAAATAAGCACTTGGTCTTATTTTCAGGGAGCTCTTATTATTTTCAAGGTTCAGGAGGCAGCGAGTGTGGTCACCTTATGGCTGCTGCTGTGTTGCAATATTTTCGGGGAGGGCTTATTTTGGGGGGAGGGCATATTTTAGCACATGTTCTCAAAAGTCCAACTGGGCTTATTATCTGGGGATGTCTTATTTTGGGGGGAACAGGGTAATTATGCCTCAGATTATGTGAATGTGTCCTTGTAAATACATTATGACATCAAGATATTAATACATTTAATGTATCAAAGCTTGTTTATTTTCTTTATATAGGCCAACTTCAGTACATCCTGATTGTATACCTCAAAATAGTAATAATTCCTGTACCATTCCTGATGTGGTTTTTTTTGTCACTTTGGAAGTGTGGGTAGAAGCCAAAAATGAACTTGGAGCAGCTGAATCTGACCACATTGAATTTGATCCCGTAACTTGTGGTAACTATGCTCTTTTCCATGAATTAATGTTAGAGGACTCTCATTAATTCCTTCACTTGATATTTGAAATCTCTTCCTCCCCCCACAGATAGTCTGGATTTGAAGAAGAATATTACTCAGAGCATATGAGCCTTTTGTACATAACATTTGTCAACAGCTTCTTACACTACCTGCATGTTTTTTTTCCTAGGCTCATGCAGCTTCATTTAATCTTTAAAAAAGACATTTAGTTAAATGAATTGTCAACAGGGGCTATGAGCACGTTTGTGCATGTGCCAAATCTTAAAATGTCAAGAAGTATATAGTTCTAAATGCAAAATGTTGGCGGTTGAAATTAATTGAATCTGTATATTCAACAATAAAACATTTTTCTCCCTTTGTTCCTAGTGAAACCACTTCCTCCACACAAGCTGTCCCTCAATTCAGGAAAATTTCCTAAAATCTTAATGCTGTCATGGGAAAACAGTTTGAATGAACCTCACGAACTGAAATATAAAATTCAATATAAGATCTTGAAGAGCAATGATTGGAATGAGGTAATCCTATGGCTATTTTTTATTATGACAATTTCTGTTTTACTGTACAGATAGCCCTCAACTAACAACTGTTCAGTTCAGAGTTATGATGGACATCCTTCCATTCTCCAGAGTAACATGGTCACATTTGAGGCATTCATCAACCAAACTGCAGTTATGGTTGTTTGCAGTGACCCATGATCACATGACCACATTTGGCAATATTTTTGTTGATAATTTGCATTTACTTCCAGTTTTTGGTAAAACCAACTCGTAGTGAACAATTGGTACACTTAACAGCTGATTCAAAAAAGGTCTTAGAATCAGATTGTGCATGGAAGAAACTCCACAGGTATTGCACATCTGAAAACAATTCTGCATGGAGGCCTTGCGGGGGGGGGGAGGGGGGGATCTGACTAATGTCAGAAATTGGTAGGCAGTTTTAAGAAATGCCTACTTAGATTACCTCTACCAGATATTAGAACCAAGGTGTATTTATCATTTGTGCAAAAAGAAATGAATATATCTTTTAATTTTTTGTTGAATAAATGATTGCAATAAATACCTCAGTTACATCACCTTTATCTTTGTTTACTGTTTGGATGAAGATAAAATATTAATATCCAATATTGATTTTTTGTTAAAGTTTACATGCAGTGTATTTACTGTTTCACATGACTGTACAGATAATCCTTGACATACGTGCAATTGAGCCTGGAATTATGATCCTAAATTGTGGTGGTCAGTCAGTGGGTCATTATATGTCCAATTTTATTGCCTTTTTGTGGCAGACGTTAAGCGAAACCATTTTCCCTGATTGATGTTTTTTTGCCAGAAACTGGAAATAAATGCTTGTTTCTGGCAAAAGAAAAACATGATGAAACTACAGGATGGTGCAAATGGCTGTAAATGCCCTTTTAAGACTTGAAAGAGAAAATACAACACGGCAATTTTAAAATCTGTGTGAGTATCATAGTGAGTGAGTATCATAACACTTATGAAATTCAACTTTATTTCAGATTCCACCTGAAGATACAGCTTCAACAAGAACTTCTTTTACTCTCCAGGAACTCAGACCAAATACAGAATATCAAATTAGACTGTGTTGTGCAATTCATTCGTCAAAGTACTGGAGTGAATGGAATGAAGTAATTGGATTCACTGCTGAAGACAGTAAGCAATATTTGTTTGTTTGTTTACCTGGTCTCACAATGTCAAAACATGAAATAGTTACATGTCTGCACAAGTTACCCTGTAACCTAAAAAGAACATAAAAGTAGATCTATAATCCCTTGAGCAAAGAGCCTAAAAATGGATGATCAATTACTATCAATCGTGGGAAGTCTGATACTATATATTATTAATATTATCTCTGAAATTAGTAATTGTTAACAATCTCCATTGGTTATGTAAAAATATTAACCATGATATTCCTTTGAAGATTATATATTTCAAATTCAGTTAGAGTTCAAGAGGGCTCTGACTGTCTGAATAAAGGATTAAAATGACTTTTAGGAACAGGAAAATGCAGGACATATAACCCAAACTCTTACAATGTTACAGGATAATAATTTTTTGGATATTATGGATAAAAATTGTAGAGGCTGAGATTTTCCACCATCTATAAATTATACAGCATTTTTTCCTTTAGTTTGAAAACTGATATTAATAAATAATCCAAAAAATTATGCAGAGAAAAGGACTGGCTGTTTGGTGCATAGTATTGTGGAAGTCTAGAACATTTTTAATAACTCTTAAGTGCTACTATAGGATATTTAATACCAATAGAACATTACAATATGTAACCTGTATCTGGCATTATTACTAAGCATTATTATAATGAAGCATATGTCAAATTATTTAAGAGAGATTTTTTAATTTTGATAAATATGCATTAAATAAAATGAATAGTGAGATTTTCTAAAATCTACATGTTTGAATTTTATCGTCTGTTAGAACCATCGAAAGGACCAGCTCTTTGGCGTAACATTGAAACTTCTGATTCAAGAAATTGGACGTTAGGCCTTCTTTGGAAGGTAGGAAAAAATTATATATCATGATTTTCTTGCTTTAGATGTTCTTGGCAACAATAGGTATCTTTCATGTTCTAATATATTGCAATTAAATATGTAGTGTTGTAATGTATAGCACTGCTACAGCTTAGGGCAACAATTTCATGAAATATCCTTTGGGACAGATATAAATAGTAAAAACAAAACATAGTGTAAAATAGTGTTTCTCAAACTTGGCAACTTTAAGATGGATAGATTTCAACCCCTACAATTTCCTAGCCAGACAGTTGCCATGGCTGAAAAACACTGCTATAAGAGATGTGCATTGATCTGAGGACTATACTTGCCTTTTAAATGACATTAAACTAGCTAAGGTCAGGACAATTAGATTTTTGATGTAATTTATCTACTCCCCATATGTTTAATCATTTTCTTCAGTTAACTATAAAAATAACAAATCAATGAACTTGGGAGGGGGTGGGGAAACTTTTAAAATCTCCCTAAAGCAGGGGTCCCCAATCTTTTTGCTTCTCTGGACTGGCTTTGGCAGCTTCGGGAGAATGGTTGGGTTGTAGAAGTCTTAAAAGGTTGTTTGAGAAATCTCATAAGAATTTGGATCATATTCTGAGTGGGATTTCTTGAAAAAAAAACAAAAGAACATGATTGATGTTGATTGTCTATTGAACTGGGAAAGGAAATCAGGTTTTAGCATTTAATAAAATGTAGTTAAAAACAGCAGAGTTAATGAAGCATAATTGGATTGTGCTCTGTTTCAGGTAGACATCAATTACCATACCACTGCATGTTAATTTCTCTAAGACATTAACAGTAACATTAAAATTGAATATATAACATTTGTTTGTAAACATTCTCAAGTCATTCCTATATATTAGGAATGTATATTGCTAATTCTGTTTTTTTATTATCTGACTCAGTGTCCAAATATTGATGAATATTATTTCTACCAATGTCTTAAATAAACAACACGAATAACAGAAAGTGATATTTTGGAAACAAAGTCTATGTAATGGTGGATGGGAATACCTTTGGGAGGCTGGAAAGAGAAACAACTAGGACAAGTTGGTTAAGAGGCAACTTAGTCCACAGAAGAAATGAGGGCATGGCAAATGTCTCAGAAGGAACCTTCTCTACTGGAAAGACAACTGGAAAGAAAAACAGGCTTGCAAGATACTGTTAATGTAACTTTGTAGTAAAGTAGAGCTGTTACTTCTGGCTAAGCTTCTTGTCTTGACTACCTCAAAGATGGACATCCTGTTATGATATTCCAATTCAGTCTGTAGTACACTTTCCATTTGATGCATTGAGTTCCATTCTGGTAAACAAAGTATTTGATTTCTTAGGTGACTTTTTTTTACAGTTTTGATCTTTCCTAGGATAGAAAAATAGATAAAAATACTAGATCCAGTCTACAAGCCTTTGAGAGCATTTCCTGCAAATTAAGTTAATTTTTCATGCAGTAAGGTTCCCTATTCTCTTCCTGACAAAGGTGCTTATACAAGGATTTGGGGTAAAAAGTTTGAGAATTGGCTTTCTTAATTTATTATAACCTACTGCTAGTTTGGAACAAAAATGCTGGGTTAGTTGGGTGAACATCTGGATGTCTATAAAGCATTTTCTTTTCTTCATATATCATCTCTGAATAAAATAAATTACTTTTCAACAGGAGTTGAGTCCTTCTGAAGCAAATGGAGTAATTTTGAAATATGAAGTATCTATTTCAGGAAGACCGCCACTTTCTTTTCCAACTAGACTTTACACTCTGAATACAACCAAACTGATTTTAAACGTAGAAAACAGGACATATGATGTGAGCATTACAGCATTTAACAAAATTGGTAAATCTCCTACATCAGTTTTGCTTATTCCAGCAACTAATTCAAAAGGTAAAGTTTTTCAAATAATTTAATGAAGGGGGGGGGGAATCTAAATATTAGCATTAACAAAGGTTGTTAGTTGTGAAATCCTGTCCGACCCATCGCGACCCCATGGACAATGTTCCTCCAGGCCTTCCTGTCCTCTACCATCCTCTGGAGTCCATTTAAGCTCATGCCTACTGCTTCAGTGACTCCATCCAGCCACTTCGTTCTCTGTTGTCCCCTTCTTCTTTTGCCCTCAATCTTTCCCTGCATTAGGCTCTTCTCCAGAACGTTAACAATAGACCACTTTTGTTTCTCTTATGGGAGCAATCAAATCTTATTGAAGCCAGTTTGGCCTAGTGGTTAAGGAAACACGCAAGAAAACAAGAGACTGTGAGTTCAAGTCCTGCCTTAGAATTTTGAAAGTCAGCTGGGTGACCTTGGGTTAGACTACGTGAAGCTCACTCTAACTCCAGCTCTCCTCACAGAGTAGCTGTGGGGAAAATAAGAGGAGAAACTTGGTACTTTCAGTTAGTCAAACTCATATGTTATTTAGAAAAGTTTTATCTTCTGTTTGAATTGACTGTTTAAAAATTTTTCTTCAATTTTCTTCAAAGATAAATAAATTCTAAGGAAAAAGTTCATCTTTATTGCAATAACATAGCTGTAGTAATTACTTTGATTAGTTCTGTTAGTTAATAGATAAAATATTCCATTAAGGTATCTTAAATATACTTCTTGTGTATACAATTATCCTAATTAGATCCTAATGTTTCAGTTGAATAACTGGCTTATGATATAGTAATATGGTGTGGGTTTAGGACATAGGTGTCAAACTTGACGTGTTACATTGCCATCAGGTGACGTTTTGTGACATTTTTCCCATTCGTGGAGCTGGGGTGGATGAGGCCTCCACTAGTTTGACACCCCTGGTTTAGGATATCTGAAGAACTCTCTCGCCTCCATTGACTAGCCCATGACACTTGTTCCAGTGAAAAAGGCCTTGGAATCAAATCCTGTTGGCCAAAGAATATCAGCTGGCAGGGTCCAGCTGGCCCCCACCCTATTGAATATTTTCCCATCAGAGCTAAGGTTTGCCCCCACACTCCTGGCCTTCTGGAAGAGCCTCAAAGCTTAGATCTGCTGTTTAGCCAAAGGTCCTAACAGACCTGCTACTTTGGGAGTGACTATCCGGCTAGAGAAAATCTCTACCCATCCACCCACCCACCCAGACTGCCCATCAGCTTGGTTTTTAGCTTTTTAATTCAGTTTTTCTAATTTTAATTGTTTTTAGTACATTTTATTTTTTATTACATTATAAGCCATCCAAAGTTGCTCTATCAATGAGATGGATGGCATAGAAATTTAATCAATAAAATTTCAATAGCTATTCTGTACAACACATATTAACTTTTCTTTTCCTAAAATACATTTGCTGCTACAGGGATGCCAGATATGAGAATATAAACATGTTTTAAACTATTGGACAGAGACTGTCAGATGAGAATAGTAAAAGTGCTTTAATATCTGAATTTTCTCTATTGCTTTAAGTGTTAAAAAAAAAACCTTGAAATTTTATTCTACTTCTAATGTTTTCTTATCTGTGACTGTAGACATCCACTCTGACTTAGTCAGAAATATGTTGGGATTCGATTGTTCATATGACCAGCTGTATTATATTTCAAACAAGAAACTTCAATTGAATTTTGGTGTTAAAATTAGGAACTTTGTAGAATGCTAGAATTTTCACTTTATATCTTTTATAGAATTAAGGGTTGTTGTTGTTTATTTCCTAATTTCAGCTCCTGTGAAAAATATTGTTGCATTTCCTGAAGATGGCAAACTCTGGGTAAATTGGACACCTCCCAAAGAGTCAGTTAGTAAATACATAATTGAATGGCAAGAAGCATGTAGCAATTTAAGCTGTCCTACTGAATGGCAGCAGGAACCTGGCTCAAAACGGAGAACATTTTTAAAAGGTAACCCTAGAAAATAATCTGTTATTTATAAAATGGAGAGAAGAATTCTTTAGATGCCCTTATTTCCTTTAAAAATAAAACCAATTCTTATTCTTTATGTGCTTTGCCCACCATGCTATGCCTTTTAAGGTAAAACACATACAAAGTGCGGAAAAGGAATAAAAAATAATATACATTTACAAATAATATAAATAAATTTATAAAATGTATTATAAAAAGAAATTAAATCTAATGCTTCTTAGATTACTGGCCTTAGTCAAACATAAGCAGTATTCCTAACTAACAGTAAAGGTGAATTTTAACACTTCAGCATTTTTGAACCAATATACCACTTTTCCATGTAAGCTGGGACCTCTAACCTGGAGACCAACTGCAAGCCAACATATTGTAGAGTTGGAAATTAGTAAGGTTTGTGTTTTCCTTTTTTTTCATAACCTGAAAGCTGCTCAGAGTCACCTTGTGGACGGGATGAGCAGCATAAATAAATAGTAAATAAATAATTAAAATTGCAGCAGGGAAGCAAGAATGCTCATGCTACAAATACTTTTTCCCCTCAATACAATAATTCCTGAATGACATTCTGACAAAACAACTAAAATTGCTATTCTGTTGTCAGAGAGAATGTGACTTAATTATGACATAAGGAGTATGTTCCCCTGCTTCTTCAAATTCCCACAAATTCTCACTTTGCAGTACATTGAATCTAAAAGACATTTTGTTTTGATTCTTTACTGCAGATACCAGCAGTGTGCTCAGAAAATAACATTGGGGGCAAATTAATAAAATACGTTGTGTCCTATAATTTTGAAACTTCTTGTGGAACAGATTTGGAAATTGGTTTAGAATTTTAGAGCTTGAATAAGATTTTTTTCCCCAGCAGGCTGTTATTTAAAGCTTATGCATGAAGCATGCTAGAATATATTTTAGTTGTAAGGATGTCATTCCTTTTATTTTAGCTTCTAAGTAAAGAAGCTGGTAAGGGAGAGACTTTCACGTGGAAGTTTTTTTTAACAAATATTCCTATATCCTTCTCTGATACTGTCAAGTGATAAATTCTTGAAATCCACATTTCCAATTAATTTATATTGTTGGATTTTGTTTTATACAAAGGAACAGTATCAGTTATTGACGGACCATTAGCCCAATACAAATAAAAATGGAAAAATTGGGAAATCCCAAATTTAGGAAAATGTTTTTGGGGAAAACACTGCTCATAGCAAACCTTTGTTCAGTTAACGACTGCGGATTCACTTAACAACACTTAACAATGCTGCAAAAAAGTTGTTAGGTCAATCACATCACCTACTCATTAACAGATGTTCTAATAAAGGGCAGTTATGACCATTATTGTCATAGTTCAAGACTGCTTGTATCACCAATTCTGACAATTTGGAGAAATGCAAATTGTCTTCAAGCTTTACGTACATTGATTACAATGTATATCTTGCCTTTTAGGATAACAATAATCCTAAAGCAGTTTTCATGCAATATTAAAACAACTGAAAAAAGTAGAAAGTTTTCAAGCATTTCAAATGCGCAAGCAACTTCTTGCTGCTGTACCTAGCAATATCTATGCATTCAGTTTTGGTCGCCACGATGTAGAAAAGATGTTGAGACTCTAGAAAGAGTGCAGAGAAGAGCAACAAAGATGATTAGGGGACTGGAGACTAAAACATATGAAGACCGGTTGCAGGAACTGGGTATGTCTAGTTTAATGAAAAGAAGGACTAGGGGAGACATGATAGCAGTGTTTCAATATCTAAGGGATTACCACAAAGAAGAGGGAGTCAAACTATTCTCCAAGACACCTGAGGGTAGAACAAGAAGCAATGGGTGGAACTAATCAAGGAGAGAAGCAACTTAGAACTGAGGAGAAATTTTCTAACAATTAAAACAATCAGTGGAATAGCTTGCCTCCAGAAGTTGTGAATGGCCCAACACTGGAAGTCTTTAGGAAGATGTTGATAGCCATTTGTCTGAAATGGTATAGGGTTTCCTGCGTAGGCAGGGGGTTGGACTAGAAGACCTTCAAGATCCCTTTCAACTCTGCTATTGTATTGTACTTTTGTTTTCAAATGTCTCTAAAAATAATTACTACAAAATTAAGTTACATTTCTCTCTATGAGGAATTACGTGTATGAGAGTGTATCTCTTGTTTCTTAACAGTGTTAGCATTTTTAATTTAGATAAATAGGACCTGTAAATTTCTTTTTTTAGGAACCATAAAGCCATACAAGTGTTACATAATAACAGTGCATCCATTATATATTGGTGGTCAAGGAGCAGGAGAATCAACACAGGCCTATCTTAAACAAGATGGTAAGTTTACTACCATGGTAAGTGCTTTCTTGAGGATGCCACAATGCAGTAATTGGTTTATATTACTTATTAAATATTGCATAATTTTCATAATAAATTGATACAAAAGTGAAGTATAAAAAGTAAAGCTATAGGAACTGCATTAGCTGCAATCATAAAATATGACAGTAATGAGAAAAAGAGAGAAAAATGGGATGCCATAACGTATATTCAAAACAAAAGCCTAGGTGAATATTGATGCTCCAGGTAAGATTAAGCAAGGCTATTAGACTGTAATGCTTTTAGTGAATACAAACATAGGCAAATTTACAAGTTACCAAAAGAACCTTGAACTGCTTGATGGTATAGTGGCAACTAGTGCTGCTCCTTCACAAATATAGTTCTAGCAGGATGTCCCTTCAGCATTTTGCTCTACTGCATCTGCAGACAAATCCCCGAAGCCAGCTTCAGGTAATTTCTCATGTCCTTCTGTTCTGTGGTTATGTAGCTTACATAATAGAATATGCTTATAAGAAAACTAATTGTTGCTCTTCAGCGAAAAAACTTTTAAAGTACTGTTTGTTTATAGTGCCTGCTACTGGACCCTCTGTTCGAACAAAGAAACTTGGAAAGTTTGAAGCTGTTTTAGAATGGGAACCTCTTTCAGTGGAAGAGCAAAATGGGTTTATCAAAAACTACACCATTTCTTATAGAACAGCGACTGGAGATGAAAGAGGTAAGTGTGTTGCTAATTTTTAGTTATTTGAATGATATCCTAGGCAAAGGTTTCAAAGTTAAGTTTACTTTAGGCTTTACCAGAAATTTTTTAAAAAATCACTACATGGCAGCAAAGGGATATAGAAAACTTAACTCTAGCTGCCACCTACTATTCATCTAGATTTTTGTGGGTGAACCTTACTTGTCAGTTCTTCTTGTACACAAATACTCTCATTCACAAACAGCCCTGTACTATGTTGTGACATTCCTGGCTCATCATTCATGCATGGTTCACCTTTTATAAAGATTACTGCAATGCACTCTACATGGGACTGCCCTTGAACAGTATTTAGAAGCTTTAGCTGTTGCAAAATTTGGCTGCATAGGCATGTTATGTGCACCTCTCAATCAGCAAATATTAAACCTTCATTCTGTGGACTTGGTTGCCAATTTTATTCTGAGTATAATGCAAAATGCTAGTGATAATCTATAAAGCCTTTCATGCCATTGGATTGGGTTATCTGAGGGACCGCCGCTCTTCAATTGCATGTAATCCAATCAGATCTGGGAGCAAGTCATGTTTTAGGTTCTGTCAGCCAGGGAGTATGTTTTTTGGGTGGAGGCTTAGAAGGAGACCTTTCTCTGTCATGGTTTCAACTGTATGGAACATCATTTGCATCACACCACACCACAACCACCACCTTGGAGATCATAGTGATCCTGTTAACTTTTTACAAGGCCCTGAAAACATGGTTTTGTGATAGGCATGGAAAGCCAGGAATGTACTACCCTGTTTCCCCGAAATTAAGACCTACCCAAATAAAAAGCCCAATCAGGCTTTTGAGTGCATGCGGTAAAATAAGCCCTCCCCTGAAAATATTGCAACACAGCAGCAGCCATGAGGTGACTACGCTTGCCACCTCCTGCACCTCAAAAATAATAAGATCCCCCCCAAAATAAGGCCAAGGACTTATTTCGGGGGTCAAAAGAAAAAAAGACCCTATCTTATTTTCAGGAAACATGGTAGAGCCTGCACAGTGGCTGTATTGACTAAAACAGGGGAAGTGTGATCCAAAACTATGATTTTGAATTTCCTGATACAGTTTTTATATGGTTTAATATTGTTTTCATTGTTTAAATTATTCTATTGTTTTGCTGTGTTTGTATTTTTTTTTACTTTATGAGCTGTCCATAGTTACACATCGAGATGGGCAGCTATATAAATTCAATTAATAAATAAATGAAATAATGCAAAGTAATTGTAATAAATATGTGCAGTCATATCTAGGCACTCGATTGCTTCAAAATTCATTTAAATCAGTATTCGACACATTTTTGAAGCAGAAATCTTATCCCAGCACTCAGCTTTCTCTCAGTAATTGACGTGCAAGGGAGAATTTGCTGACATTGGCTGGCCCATGACTTGCTATTTCTTCCAGCCAAAATAGTGGGTCATGTGGTAAGTCACAAGGTTTTTCTTGGTAAGTCATCAGTTTTAATGTTCATCACGTCTTCCAGAACAAATTATCAAAAGGTGTTGAGACGCCACTGTATTTAATCCAATCTAGTTTGTGCTTGTTATGATATGCAGTAATATTAATACAGAATATTTTGACAGAACTAATAAAATTAGAAATGAAGGTTGGACTATACTGAGATCAGGTCTAAATGTTCTTATTTGAATTAAGGTTAGAGAAAATTAGTTTGGATAAATTTAATGTAAAATATTGACAATTCGTTTTTTTTAATTTCTAGTTGTGGCTGTGGACCCTTCAAAAACGGAGTATCTACTATCATCCTTATTAAGTAACACTTTGTATATAGTGCATATGACGGCATATACAGAAAGTGGGGGGACAGCTGGTTCTCAGTTTACGTTTTCTACCAATAGATTTGGTAAGGTTTGCATATAAATATTCCAGTTTTGAAAAGAATCAGCTTGGGATGAAATACTTCCCAAATACCCATTAGAATTCCTCCCTTTTTTAGACCACTTGAAAGTCCTGTATAAATGATTTTATTACTTTGTTCTGTAAAATGTACACTGGGAATGTTGCATAATTCACAAATTGGGTGATTTGTTTTTGTCATTTTTGGTTTGTTTAACACAATATGTGAATTTAAACACTATGATTAAGGTTAGGTATGATTCATTTGTTATTTTCATTATCAATTAATAAATTTTAGAGTTTTTTAAAATTATTTTGAGGTAAACTAATAAACATTTGAATAAAATGTGCTGATTTCCTTTTGCGTTTTCTTTTTCAGAGGATGGAGAAATAGAAGCAATTGTTGTTCCTGTCTGCATAGCATTTCTTCTAGTTACTTTAGTGGGTGTATTAGTTTGTTTCAGCAAACGAGATATGTAAGTATTCTTAGTGGTATTATTCCGTATAGTACCACATATTCAGCACTTTGCGTGTCATTCTTGATTGAGCAAAGGAAGGGGGGGAGCTGCATTGACACTAATAGATTATTGTGTATGTGTGTGCTAATACATATAAAATTCCGAGCTGAATGTCACTTGTTCATTTTTTTGCTTGTCTTTCTATTATTTTTCTCCAGGATTAAGAAACACATCTGGCCTAATGTGCCTGATCCTTCAAAGAGTGTAATTGCTCAATGGTCACCGCAGACACCAGCTAAGGTAAAAGGAAAACAAAAAACAAAATTAGATTATAAGCTAATTAACAAAAACATAACAAAGGAATGGGAAAGGCAATTTTCCCAGATGTGGCATCCTTCCCTAATTCCCGGGGGTTGATTTATGGAGAGCTACATAGTTTGGGGTTGGTTGGGGAAATTGAAAAAAAGCAAAATATCTCCTCCTCCATTCTGTCAACCTAATGTTGAATTAGAGTTTACATGGAGAAAAGAGGCTGTTGCACTTGATGAAGAACTTGACTGGAATCCAGGCCAAATCTTCAACTCAGTGTAAAAATGCAATTAGTTTCTTTTATGGTATATACAGTGGGGCAAAAAAGTATTTAGTCAGCCACCAATTGTGCAAGTTCTCCCACTTAAAAAGATGAGAGAGGCCTTTAAAGACTGAATCTGCCATAGGCAAGCAGCTTGGTGTGAAGAAATCAACTGTGGGAGCAATAATTAGAAAATGGAAGACATACAAGACTGTTCTGACCCCCACCTTGTTCGTTCAGAATCGACAGCCACACAAAGCTTGCAAAGGAGTGTTTTTTATCAGTCCCGGCTTGGGCTGGCAGATAAACACAGATAAAAGGCTCTGGCAAAAGTAAACTACTGCAAAACAAGATTATATAAATCAAATCACTTATCCAA